TTTTTTTTTTTTTGTACCCTTCAATGATCTATTTCCTGTCACCGATAAGTTGATTTTATGTTTTTCATTTCATGATGCTTTGGAATGATGTATTGTACCAACGGGGAATTCTAATTAATGAAGTAGAAGTCACATTGTCTGTAGTAATTGTTTCTGCAGATCATTTTGTCTGTTATTCATGTAATACAGTTACATCTTGTTTTTCCAGATCAACGAGACCATTGTTGTTCAACACACCTAATAGATGGTGATGGTACTTTCAATGTTGCTGGAATTGATAATTTCATGAAGGAAGTAAAACTTGGTGAATGTGGACTTTCTTATGCTGTTGTGGCCATCATGGGCCCTCAGAGTAGTGGTATGAAATTTGAGTTGGTATTCCACTCTTTAATTTCTGTTCATGCAATATTCAACGATTGCTGGAAATAAATATGGAATTTTGGAGTGATTATTATTTATTTTTTGTTTTCACAGTATTCTCTTTTGTTTACTCGTCTTTTTGACAGTTTAAAGATCACTGACTATGGCATTGTTTATGTGCTTTTTAATGCTGTGAAAAATTAGTTTGAAATGCTTTTTGTGACTTCGACAGGGAAAAGTACGCTGTTGAATCACCTCTTTGGTACAAATTTCAGGGAAATGGATGCTTTTAAGGGGAGGCAAGCATCTCGTGACCTGCTCTTTTGTTTTCCCATTCCATTGAAATATTACTGAGCTTTTTTGAACATATTCAGGTCTCAAACCACAAAAGGCATATGGATAGCCCACTGCGTAGGGATTGAACCCTGCACTATTGTAATGGATTTAGAAGGCACTGATGGAAGAGAAAGAGGAGAGGTTAGGGAGATTTTTTTTTTTTTTTCTTATTTAGTTGATTTTTGTGTTGATCTTTGTAGTTGGTGGTTTATCCCCTGCATCAAAGGCCATTTTGTTACTGTTCCATTATTCTCATGTTTGCGTAACCCACATTTCTTTATGCCACTTACATGGAGTTCCTATTTGAATGACTATATGGTTATTTAACCCATACCTTGTATTTTGTTTCATGTGATTAGGAAGCATGCGCCTGCATGTCTTCCATCCACTCATTGTTTTTGAAGCCCAAGCAGCATGATCTAGTTCCATTAACCTGCACTTTACTAGCCGCAGACATCTTACTGTTGTTTAACTTAAATTACTCGTTATAATTTTTAATTTGATACCATGTTATTCTTTTTTTTTTTTTTTTTTTTTTTTTTTTTTTTTTTTTTTT